ATGCACATTGTAAATGATGTACGGCAATAATATAATACAGCAATACTACAGTTGCTTTTACATAGTGGCCAAGTTTAAATTAACTGACGGTGATTTCTAGCTGATTGCCAACTTAACTGTCCATATATGGTAGATTGAGGTGTATTTGACCAGTTCTTTATTTATAAGGCACTTCATTTTTCTTTTCTTGATGCTTGGGGGTTCCTTTCTACTGAGATTGTCTGGTGTCTTTGTGCTGTGATATTTTCTGGTGTCTTTGGTCTGTGGGATGTAACCTTAAAGAGCTTAAGTTAGTTAACATAATAAAGTTTTTTGTTTCTTTGTTTTACATGGTTTTTGTTTCTAGTAACTCAAATTTCATACACAGATTAATGAAGTGTGTTTACAATGTAATAGGGACCAAGTTTTTTATATCACAAGCTATACTTTTGCAATTGTTGTATAGACATTCATTTTTACATGAGCTGCATTAGTAATATTTTATACTAAATGTAATGCTTAACAGCTAGAATAGATGCTCACAATCTTCTACGAGAAGGTGTATTGCTTTCCCTTGCTGAGCACTCTGGTTTAGCAAAAGAGTTAATAACAGATTTTTTACCAAGATTTTTAGAGTTAATTTGGTTGTAATACCAATTCCATTTTTATAAACTGTTTAGAAGCACAAGCTTTAATAACCACTGTTTCCCTATAACATAAAAGAAAAGTGTATAAAATTAAACCAAAATAAATGTTAAATGCAAGTCTATGCAAACACTTTAAGGGTATTACATTTGCACAATGCTTTGTTGTGTTTGGGAGCCAAAGGTGGAAACCCGATGAAATTGTTTGGTTAGCTTTATGCATAAATTGTTATTTTTAAACATTTTTGCTATGATATTCTTATAACTATATTTAAAAGTGCAAACAAGTTTATAGAAACCCAACAAGACATTGACTATTTGTTAATATTACCTTTACCTTAATGTTGAGGTTTCCCCTCCTTTTTTTTCTTTGAATAAAGAATTTTTTTTAAACAAACAGCTCCAGCCAAAGCCTTGGGGAAGGGACCGCTGCAGAAGTGAGGAGGAGAGCCCTGGCCTGACACTTGGGGAACTGAGGTGAGATCCACACAGAATCCTCTTCCTCTGGTTCCCTCAGGAACAGTGGAGTGCCTGGAGACATCTGAGGTGAACGAATTGGTACCGGGCACATCTCTGGTTATCTAGATGTCCTTGGTACTGAAAGCATGTTGGAGCTGACGAATGGTCAGTTGGGAGTCTCTGATCCAGTCAGGTCCTGAGGAAAACAGAACTCTTGTGGTACCGCCAGGGGCATCGGTACCAATGCTGATGACTGTGCTGAAGTAGTTGTGGCCGGGGGTGTTTACAGTAGTGCAGTCTTTGATGAAGTTGAGTGCTTCACACCCTCCAAGGGAGGCGCAATCAGAGCATGAGCAGGCGTCTTCAATGCCGAGCGAGCAGCGGAAGAGCTCTTCTTGCTGCTTTGATCTGATGATGGTACTGAGGTTTGCTCTGGGGCCGAAGCCTTGCGCTAGCTGTGCCCTGGGTATGGGAGGAACTGGAAGCCTCATCAATACCTGACTGGAGAGCTGCTGGTGCCAGGGTAGCTGAGGGAACTGATGACCTGGGCATTTTAGAGGTAGAGTCTCTATCTGGTGAACTTGGGGCACTTTTCTTCGAGGGTTTGTGAGAGGAATCCTGTATCTGCCTCTTGGGTGCCCTGAAAGTGTGGGGCTCTGAGGCAGCCTACTTACTTGGGGCCTGGCACACGGGGGAAGGGGGTCCCTTGGCCTGGATTGGAGGCCAGGTGTAAAGAGAGCTCCATCATAAGGAGGCAAAGTTTAATTTCTCGGTTTTTTCTGGCTCTTGATTTTTAATGCCAGGCAAAAGTTGCACTTTGGAGAGACATGCAATTCCTCGAAGGCAGCGGATACAACCAGAATGTCCGTCACTGACCGGGAGGGCCTTCTGCCACGACAAACAGCATTTGAAGCCAGGCTAACTAGGCATCATCTCACAAACAGAAAATGTCTAACTACCTAAAACTATCTAAATAGTATAGAGAAAGGAGAAAGAAAAACTATTTTTAAAGAGAGGAAAGAAGCTAGAAGAAAAGGAAATATGGGCTATGTGAGAACAAACGCTACAACAAACACTACAACTACAACTGCCAGAGCTTCGTCTCAGGCCGTGGTGGTTGAGAAGGAACTGAGGGGTTGTTCACCCATGCAGTGCTATCTAACAATAGGATGGGGCATGAAACTGACTAATGCATTCATGGACCGAACAGACACCGCTCTGCAAAATCTCCACTCAAAGGTGCAGGGGCGCTAGCACATCTTGAGTGGAGCTCCCGTAGGGACACTACTCAAAGAGCAGGATATTCTTGTAACCCTCTTGCTAGTTGGCGTTAAGGTGTTCTTGGGTCACAGAAGGTCACTAGGATAGACCAGCCCACTTGATCCTTGCTTCTTTCTCTCAGTGGCAGGCTGAGCCATTCAATTGCTGCTCAGACTTTTGAGATTGACAGCTAGCTCAACCAGTTTTTGCTCGACATTTCCCTACTAGTGGTCAGATCAGCCAATCTCTATTCTCTACTGTCTCTAAGTGACAGCCAATTCCAGCTCCGCAATCCTGATGGACAGTAATCCTCGCCATTCACTGCTCCTTGTGTCCCAAATGCTGCTCATTTTACCCTTGGACCACATGGGGCCCTGGCAGCAGGAGATAACATGACTAAATTGGGAATCCAGAGTTTTTTAGTTGTAAGTGGGAGTCTCCTTAATGTACCAGGAGATGAAGTCAGTCTGATATCATGTGCCATGCAGCCTGCAGTGGCTTAGTGAATAGGGGGTTGGACTAGGACTTAGGAGAGCTGGGTTCAGGTCCGAGTTCTGCCACTGGTTAGCTGGGTGACCTTTGCTAAGTCACTTTATCATCCTTTGCCTCAGTTTCTCTATCTGTAAAATGGGGATAATGATACTGCCCCCTCGCTAAAGTGCTTTGAGATCTACTGATGAAAAGTGCTATGTAACAGATAGGGGGTATTATCATGTATTGATCAACACCACTGAGCATCAAGGTTGGAAATACTGTAAGTCAGTAGCTAGTATCATTAAAGGAAATGACGTTTTATAAAAATAAAATATAAATTTGCTGGAAAAGACTGAAATATTTCTTGATATAGAAAGGAATTGACATTTACTTAACTATGTATTGCCCAGACTTTAAGACGTGTTGATTTTAAAAAAAGTGTGCCTTACCTTAACTTACAGCAGCCTTAACTGAATCTGATTCACTGTTGTCTTGGGTGGGCAGAGCCTGTCACAGTATGCCTTGTCCCCCCTGTGCATAACCTCTGGAGAGGTACCAGCTTGTTTTCAGGTGTGGGGAGGAGGAATTGTCTCACCAGAGCCCCTTTGTTACGGTGCCCACCTATTTGGCTCAAACCAGGTGTTCCTGGGCATCTAGTCTCTCATTGTGTTAGACTGCAGCTCCCTGGGGACTGTTAGGAACACAGGAATTGCTCTGCTGGTCAGACGATGGCCCATCTGGCCCAGTGACCTGTCAGACAGTGGCCAGCATCACTGCTTAAGAGGATGGTGCAAAGAACCCCCTAATGGACAGTAATGGAATGTCCTTCCCCAGAGAAAGTCTCTCCCTCATCCTGTCAGTCTGAGGGTGGTGCTTGCCCCACAGCAGGAGGAGTTAGGCCTTGCACCCACATTGTTTGATCCTTCAGACCCACTAGTTCACAGGGAGGCTGGGGAACTGCTTGATTCACATGAGAGCAACAGGGGAGGAACCATGCTTAATCTTTTGGATAGGTCATCATGACTTTCTACAACAATTTTCAGGGCTCGTTGGAAGATGTCAGCAAAGTGATATAATCCTGTGGCAGTCCCACACATATTGCATTAGATAGCGCATACCATTTCTTGTAGGCCAAGAGAAAAACTCGTCCCAGTCAGACTTGACTAAACACTTGGACTTATTCTTTGGCTACAGCCTGAGAAGTCATTCACCTCAGAAGAATGGCCTCAGAACGGGGGGCTGGAACTAAACTATACTAGCACCTCCTTAAGCTCTTCTGAAAAGATCTAATTATGTCACCCCACTGCTAGAAAATGCACCTGTTCACTACACTCCCAGAGGGCAAGGGCCATCATCTTTGATCAAATCTAAGCGTTCATTTAAAGAGTAAGCTTGTAGCTCCAGGGGTTATGAAAAACCTTCCAAACAGAACAGGATTCCAGGGCTGAGCTGTCTTCCCCAGGGCCTGGCTACATGGGAGTGCTGTACCACTGTAACTGGGTACCAAGGTACGCCACTGCCCATGGGTGCCCTCAGTTATATTGGCATAAAAGTGCTGTACAGCTGTTCCCATACAGGAAGGGCAATAACTGCATCACTATAACTACATCCACACTAGGGCTCGTATCAGTATACCTATCTTAGTAAAAATCATCTCCCAGCCAAGAGTTATACTGGTGTAACTTTCAGGTGGAGCCCAGGCCTTGCTGCCACTGCTCGTCAGAGCTTTTACAAACTGCACTAGTGAGTCTGGGCAGTTTCCAGCCACTATCTGCCATTTCCACCCCAGCTCTCTACCTCCTTTTGAAGCTCTGTGTTTTGGTTTATTTTCCAGAGGTGCCTTAGCTGCCTTTTCCCACATTGAGTTTGTGGTGTCTGTGTTGTGCTTCCCTCCTGCAGCACAGGTAACAAACAGCTGGCCTGCCGTAGGGGAGCAGGGCAGGGAATGTGCAGGAGAAGAGATTTCCTGGGGCTATCCCCTTCTGCCCAGCTTCCTCACAGCTCAGCCAGGCACAAAGCAAACTGCACAAGGAAGAGCTCCACTGCAGGACAGGGCCCATCTCACGGTACTGAAGCGCAGGGCAGGAAGAGAAAGCCCCAAGGACATTTTTAGAACTGGAGCCACATGGAAGGAGGTTTTTGATAGAGGGAAAAGATGAAACGAGGGAAAATAAACCTCTTTCATAGGGAATAACTTTATTGTAAAAGCTGAAAATACAGCTCCCGCTGGAGCTCTTACTAAAAGGGAAACAGTACGAGTCATTTGGGAGCAGCTCTCCAGGCAGCAGGAGGGCAATCTCTGGGGGCACCTTGTAACAGCAACATTTCTGGGGCAGGCAACAATCGTGTGCTTCAGAAAAGGAAAATTCCACCAACCTGCTGCGGCCAGTCAACCCTAGAGGCTTTTTCCAGCTCGCCTCCAATCTCTGAGCCCTGCTCAGGCCAGCTCCAGCCTCTGATCCCCTAGCATAGTCCGGCTGGAAAGTTTCCATGGTGAACACTGCTGCCTATGGTGTTTCCATAGTGAGCACTATTGCCCCCCGCCCCAGGTCTCAGCTTTGACACAACCCCACGCTCCTGAATTCACTCCCTGCAGCAGGTCTCTGCACACTCTGGGGACATTCCCCAGGATACACAGGCTGTGAAGAAGGGGGAAAACCCATGTTCTTATTGGTTCCATCCTCCCATATGCCACAACCAACCATGTGGTTCAATGTTCCTGAGGACTGGTATTCGGCTGGGGCTATGAGAATCGGGGCCACGTCAGCGGGCAGGCTGGACCCTGAGGAGGTCTGGCCCATGAAAACAGAAGGGATGGCTCTTGAAGGGACAATCACCACCTTTTCCACTGCCACGTAGGATTCTTCGGCAAGGTGGGCAAGAGTCTATTGTCCATGGCACCTTTGAAAACGGCACTGCCAAACCACACGTAGGGTTGGACCTTGCCCATGTTGTGACCCATTTGCTGAACGCTGATCCTGCTACCTCAACTCATTCTGCTGGGCTGCTCTGGGTGTGGAACTCAGAGGGTGTATCTCAGGAGATTGGCCGTCCCACCCTAGAGCCACCAAGGCCAAGCTGTGGTTCAGGGATTCATCCAGCTTCCGCGTTTCTGCTTCTAGAACAGCAGCCTTGGGCTCCCTGGCCACAGCTGCTAAGGAGTGAGAGAGCTCCTGGTGTAGGCCCGACAGCTCCTGGCTGGTCTTTGCACAGCACTTGATGTAGTCCTGCTTGTGCTTCCGCTCCAGCACCAGCTGGGTTTGCAGAAGAGACACCTGAAGGAAGAGGAACAGGTTGAGCTCAAGGGGCCGAAGGAAAAGGAGTGACTTGCCTGGCTTCTGCTTCTCTCAAGATCCTGCCCCAGTGCTACCAGTTCCCCAACAGTCATGCCCCCCCCAGGCCCAGCGCCCCAGGGCTACCAGCCCACTCACAGCCATGCCCTGCCCCGCCCAGCACCCCAATGCTACAAACCCTCCCATCCATGCCCCACCCTCCTCAGCACCCCAATGCTACAGCCCCCTCCCAGCTGCGGCCCACCTGGTGCCTCAGTACTGTGAGCCCTGTCACAGCCACGCCTTACCTGGTCTGGGATTCCAGTGCTATGAGTGCCCTCAAAGCTCTGCCCAGCCTGGCACTGAGATCCCCTCACAGCTGCTTCTTCCTTCACAGACCTGCTCTGCCCTGGGCCCTAGCACTACAGCCCCCTCACAGCCAGGGCTGGCCCAGTGCTACAAGCTCCCTCAGAGCCAGGCCCCTTCCAGGCCCCCATTCCTAGGAGTTTCCACACTGGTGTGTCCCACCCGTGCAGATACGACCATCTAGATGAGAGGTTTTCTACTCCTAACCTGCTTCTGCAACTCGGCGAGTCGCCTATGGAGAGTCCGGGCCTCCTCCTGGGAAGAAAATGCAAAGAGAAGGCCTTTAGTCCTCAGTCTGCTTGGGGCAGGACTAGACCAGAGCAGGCGGGACTCTGCCAGGGTCACATGCTCAGGCTCCCCTCCCTGTTCTTACCTGTCCTGAGGTTGATGCCTTATTCTGCCCAGAGTCAGACATAGGAAGTCCACAGGCATCTGGCAGTGAGAGGCCAGCACGGTCCCTCTTCAGCCTCCTCCGCTCATGCTCCACCTGCACACAGAACACAGAGAAAGGGTCACAGCAGTCTGCCAGGGAGCAAGGAGCTAATAACCTGGGGTATCAGGTGGGCAGAGAAGGTTCTCCACTCAGAGGCACTTAGCTCCAGGTGGTGGCGGGGGAAGGCAGTGGGACAGAAAGGGCTTCACCCTGGAGCAAGACCAGCTGATGCTGGAATGAGTATGTGTGGGTACAATGGGCAGGCAGTGCTGGAGTGCGTGGGGGTGGGCGGGAAGTACTAGAGGACATGGGCAAGCGGTGCAGGAGTGCTGGGGGGCGGGTGGTACTGGTGGGCATGGCCGGGCAGTGCTGGAGCATGAGAGTGCAGTGCTGGAGGGCGTGGGCAGTGCTGGAGGGCGTGGGCAGGTGGTGCTGGAGCGCTAAGGGGCGGAAGGTGCCAGAGGGCGTGGGCACGGGTGGGTGGTGCTGGTGGGCGTGGCCGGGCAGTGCTGGAGCACGTGAGAGTGCAGTGTTGGAAGGCGTGGGCAGTGCTGGAGTGCTGGCTAGTGGGCGGTGCCAGAGTGCTGGGGGGTGGGTGGTGCTGGTGGGCGTGGACGGGCAGTGCTGGAGCACATGAGA